ACAGGATCGACATTGACGTTAGAAAAAGTTTTTCGAGATCGCTTACTCAAATTAAAATTTATTTCTATCCTGTGTATGGATAAAACATTTTTCAAAATAAACACAATAAAACGCGTGGGAAAAAAGCATGACAATTTTTCGCCGTTTCTATGAGAATGGTTGCCGCGATGTTGATGTCGTTTATGCATCAGATATATGGGAATATTTGGGAACGGATAGAGATCGAAAATATTTGCACAGCGAATATTTGATATCGAGATTTGATACCACAATCCAATCCTTTTGTTGAAGCTTGTTCACGATACGAAGATATACTGTAAATAGGGAATTATCCTGCAAGACTCGAATAATGTAATGACGGTTGAACAAACATTCCTTTGAAGGAGTTCTGTGTCCGTTTATAGTGCAGTCATTTAATGGATTCCAAATAGGACGCTTCACCTATTGCGTATTTCGTGCAAAGCGCATACTGCAATTAACCACGCTGATTAGGCAATGCGCTTTGAAGCGACATGCAAATGATGAAAGGTTCATACATTCCATACATATATCCTGATTTTATACCCAAAAGGGGCTCAAATTTCTCGAAGCGCAGTCAAAATAACGAAAACATCGAAACAACACGATATCGTAATAGCGTTATCGTAATTCGCGAAATTAATTTCACTTGCCATCAGTGCAAACAGAAATATCGCTTTAAAGTAAAAAGAAAATTCAGAATGTTCTTGATCAATGATCACGTGAAAGTATACATGGAAACATATTTTTTTATAAGAACGAATCTTAAGATTGTTAACTTGTCTCACATCGAAATTTTGCGCTGCAGTCGTTTTGTTAATAATGTAACCCAACAAGTACTTTGAAGCAAGATTAGAGGTAGCGATCATTTATCGACGTAATGAGTTAACTTTTTGATTAAAATTATATATTAGCGATTTACAGCGAGGGTATAGGCGAAGTATGATCGAATCGGGAGTATAGAGGGGTGGTTAGACATTGGCAACTAAAACGGGGAACTAAAACGAGCCGTGAGAGAATTCAAAATCGAAGCGCGCCATCATATACGCATTTCGGGGGAGGATTTACAAGTTATTCAAATATTCCCCGCTCGGTAAGCTATGATGAATACTCGGTGTTCCAATTTAATCCCCTTCAAAGCCCGTCCGCCCTCAAATCACATCCTTGCCGCTCGTACTCGACCCTCCCCTGATTTCAGACGATTCGCCATTAATTCGTATCGAAAAAATTTTGCGCGACCTCGAGGAATCGCTGGCATGAAAAACATCCCTCCCGGAATAATTTGCGGTAAAGCGGATTTCGGTGTACCGCCAGTAAATTCGAACGAATCATTGATCGATCTGGCACGAGCACAAATGTTAAGTGAGATTAAAAAAAGGATAGGATAATATAATCCCATATTATTTAATCGTTTTTATCAGTAAAATTAATAAAATATTCTGTGAATTTCGCCTGTGACGTTTACCGGATATATGTTTAAATTATAAATAGACCTTTCTTCTATACATAAACCCTCTTTTTGATATCGGTTTTTGTATGATGGTGAAATATTAAAAGTGGATTTTGTCGTATTTAAATATACTATATATATATTATTTCGAGGGATATAGTTATTAATTTTTGAAGTATCAAAACGCGTGAATCTGAATTTTTAGTGTATTTCAAACGTGAAGAGAATACCCAAAGTTTCGGTGTACCGACTATCTACGTTATTTGAAATCTGGCACAGCGTATATATACAATATGAAGCTGTTGGTCCATTTTTCCAATCCGTGCTTGCTACATTGCTAAAAGTAATCATTGCAACTGGAAGTTGCGGGATTTTATAGACATTGTGGCAGTGCGTTGGATGTGCATTGCTCATTTTTACATAAAATTCTATTTTTGTAGACAGATAAAACAGCCATATAAAGCGCTATAGAAAGTAATTTATCAGAAAAATATATAATCAAACTCTCTCTCTCTCTCTCTCTTACAGAGATGAGTAAAATTGACTTAAAATTATCTTTAAATTCAAAAATTTATTTTTTTTTTAAACTTAATTAAAAACTTAATTTTTTCTTTAAAAATTAAGCACGAAGCAGTGTAGTATATGAATATAAGAAGTACATGGCATTTAAAACATACATAAATAATATTAAATATAAACATTAGATTATATAATATTATATAATTATAACGATAGAATATAAAAAATTATCTGTGCATTATTCCTTAGGAATATAAATAATATAAATAATTTCGCTTGATTAAATTTATCATAAATATTCATGTAGATAATCCGTATATATTTTTTTTTATAATAAAATTAGTCACAATAAAACATTTAACATTAGATTATACATATAATATTACATAATCTATATATATAACGGAGTATAAAAACCTCTATATCTCGAATTATTTCTTAGTAAGATATAAATAATATTATTATTCGATTAAATTAATTACGAATATTCGTGTAGATATACAAACGTATTCATAATATAAAATTGAATCATAATATACAAATAGAGATACAGAGCATCTGGGTGTATCTGAGGGATACTTACAGCGATTGCACTTACATGCGATATGCGGACGCAAAGTCGCAATGCGTTAAGAGATGGACGAGCATCATTAACGTCGCAAAACCCGCATAACTTTATGAAGCGACGTTAACCTTCTAGCGAGTATTGTCGCACGTGCGGGCAGAGAATTAATATCGCCAAAATGAATTGATATTTTGATCACGCAGGCTGAAACGACGCTCGCGTAAACGTAATTTCGTTTGTGCGTAATTGAGCGTACTCCGGGAGAGATCGCGGATGGTTAGTATCGTTCGTAAAACTCGATCGCGCCACTGCGATAGTTACGCCACGAAATTGCTCCGAATTTGCCATTCCGTCGGTTTTGATCCAACCGTAACGCGCAGTGAAGGGAAAGCATTAAAATTTATATCAACCCAATTACTGCTACTAAAACGCGATAGATAATTTATTTCCTCGTTAATGAAGGATTCCTCTATATACGCGAATGCAAACTTTTAACAATATTTTATATTTAAAAGAAATAAACAACATTTATATTGAAAAAAGTAAAAAATAAAAAAATAAAAATCAAGTAGATGGATGAAGAGGACCATATATAGTTAAGGTACGTCTTGATGTCTAATATTTATGTGTAAATTTTTATAATTTCCAGTTCAAGTAAATTGCGTGCCAATTATTATTGCTTGTCGATCTTAAAACAGTCCTAGACTGAAGCTATTAGAATATAAATACAAATTAAATTGATAAGCGATTTAATATTATTGATGCTGGTAATATTTAAAATACCGTAAAGAATTTATTGTGAAAGATGTCACCTCAGCAGGGATTCGAATCCTAATCTCTCTTATTCTGTATAAGCGTCTTACCAATTCGAAACTATTATTAATCACTAAAATCCGCTTTGACTGAATATGGCTCTCTTCACTCATTTATGTTGCATTTTTCTCAGTCCATTTTGATCCATTTTTACTTAATATTAAAAAATTAAATATTAAATAATACAATGATTTGGAAATGTTCGTAGCGCTAAGAATTTCAAAATTTAAGCAGTTGTAACTCTAAAAATAAACGAAATTTAAATTTATAAAGGGGTTTTGAAGTTTTTAAAAACTCCATCTTTGAAAAATTTTTTTGAGTTTCTATGAGTTTGCTAATTTTTACATACAGAAAACTACGAGCTAGACAAAATGGTAAATTTTCTTTTCACTTTGTGGATCTGTCGTGTACCCAAAAAAGAACTTGCGAAAATTTGTGACTTTCTAACATGAAAGCTTAAAGTTTTCTTTACAAAATCGTTTTTCTAAAGATGTTCCTCAGATTTTTTTGTTACTGAGTGATTGCAAAATAACTAGAGCATTTTGATTTGATTGCTCAAATGCTCGCAATTCCGTTAAAAGTTATCGTACCGCTATTCAAACAACAGATTTTTAAAGTTAAAACTTTGCTCTATTAAATGTAAAAAAAAAATGAAGTAGCGCTACTAACTTTTGTTCCAATCCAATATAAATGTCAGAGATACGTAAGACTTTGCGAATCAACGGAAACAAAAAATGGCCGAAAGTAAAAGATACCTCTTCAACTCTCTTACCACCGAAGTAAGGGAGTGTATTTAAGCACAACATCTATAGCAGATAACACAAGAGCGAGACAAGCTGATCGATAGGAAACGTTGCTCGATAAACCGACACTGGAACTCGATAAACCGGTTCTCTCTACGAAATAATAATAGCCTTGCGATGCGTGTAGCGTCACGAACGAGCGTCGATAGAAAGGGTTGCTAGACAGATCAGAACTGACGAGGATGACGATACGTCGAGGGGTTGCGCTTCTACAGGGTTGAGAGCACGCGGGCGCCTTTGTAGCGATGCGGGGTGGAATGCGGCGCGGGTAATAATGGATAATAATGCTTAAACGGACGATCGTCAACTTGACTCGAATCGAATCGACTCGACTCGACTCGACTCGACTCGACTCGACTCGACTTGACTCGACTAGATTCGATCGCGTATCGGCGATTCGATTGTCTCCGCTATTGCACGGCCATCCATGCGCGTCACGGCCGTCGAAACGCGTCATTCATGCGGCACAAACTCACTCACCCACTATCCTTCTTTCTCTCTCTCTCGAGCGCGTTGCAGCACTCTCATCTCCAGTCTGGCAAGAGTACAATGTCGCAGAGCACGTGCAAACGGCGCCGTTATACGGAATGATGGTGCCGTTTGCAGCGCTGAAAGATATCGCGATCGGGCGGCAACCCGTATAAATGGGATATTCTTCCACTCAATTTTTCTTTTTTATGCATCGTTAATTTTGTACTATTATTTTTAGTTTGTGCTGATATTAGTACGAAGTAGCGATTTGTAATTACCTTTTATGCGTATCTTTTGAAACAACATTTGAAATAGATAACAGTCGAGTAAGAGATTTGTATTATAATTAATCTGGACTTACCTGATTCTTGCCCTTGAGAACAAGTACATTGGTAACACGACCGAACGGTAGACCTAGATGAATGATCTCTGCCTCTGTCACCTCGTTAGGTATGTTCCTGATATGAATGACTCTGGAAGGTTTGCCGCTGTGACTCTTGTCGAGCTTAACCTAGAACAAAAAGAATGGATCCCTGGTGAGTCGTCGAATAAAATGAGCTGAGAACTTAATGTCTACGTCACCATAAATATAGCCTAGAAAGGAAAAAAGATATAAATGGTACTCATAAATAAGAAAAGATGTTGGGATCATGTAATACCTAAGAAAATAATCTCATTACTGTCTTTTCAAGACTACAACACGGTTAATTGTCTAAATATAATTAAGCTCTCATGTATATGTTTTAAGATAATTAAACAGTCCGTTTCGTCATAAAGGTCATAATATTCGCATATCGTTCTACAATTATAATTATGAATTAATTGCCTTATTTTTTTTAGGTATTATATTACTCGTCCAAAAGGAAGTTTATAAACTTGTAAAAAGATATACAGTAAAAAATCAATTATATAAAGCTTTAGTTGCTGTGTTTAACTGTTAACTACTTGATTAAATTAATTATATTAGTATCTGAAATTTCATTATATTTTTGATTTATTAAAATGTCTATTTCTTTTATTGCCAAATTCGAGACATCCTGCTTATTAATTTGTAAAACTAATTATTAAATACTATTAGTCACATTGTAAAAAATAAAAAAATCGATCTCTTTATAATGTCAGACTGTAATTAATAAACAAATAATAATAATGATAATAATAATTACATTTCATTCAAACCATGAAAACTTGTTATTTCTTGATAATATAACAATGACATAGCATGTTCACTTGGTTCACGGTAAAATTCTTTAAATAAAATATTTCCTTGAAAGTATAAGAATACAAATAAAAGTATGTTGAATAGTCTAATTATATTATACTTACAATAAAAAATACATAAAATATTTTATTTAGAGAATTTTATCGAGTGTACCGTTTTAAAGTAGTTGAAATAGTTAGTCAAGACCAAGTTCTCATATTATGATATGGCGTTTTGAAAGTATCGACGCTATTTTGACCGTCTAACCTTTTAAACAGCTTCCAAACTTTTAAACAATAATGTGAATTTTAACACAAAGAAATTTAACGATTAGTAAAAATCGTTTGTCAAGAATTACATAGACAACAAAGATTATCTATAAAGATCAAACTATTGCTAATAAAACATGCTAGAGCATTAAGCATACATTAATCAAAGGAGCAATAGTAACGTAATCTTTTGAGTTAAATAATTTTATTACAATTTTTTAATATTTCCATGTGTGTCAAAATATAAATCAATCCATTTTGTGTTAGTTTCAAATCGTTCATATTAAAATATGCATTTAATGAATAATAGAATTACATTGAATCAAATTTAATACATTTTCCTGAGTTAAATTTTTTAAGACCATCGTTTTAATCAAATTAACGATATATTATATAAGATAAGCGGCGATCTATAGAAATGAAAAAAATGACTCAAATTATACAGATATAATAATTTGACATTATGAATTTAACAGTGTCGTCTACATAATTACTATAAACTTTGACACTTAAGAAATGTTAATTTTCCAGTCTGTAAAATCGCCGCAAGGAAGGATGAGACCGATTCGAATTCTTCGACGCGGGACGCGAAGAATCAAGCTCGCACGATTCTAGTAGAAAAAGACGGATGCAGTCAGCCAGTCCGGTGAAAGTTTCTGGAGCCCATTCTCGCGTGCGAGGTAGAGAAGAACTTACAGAATTCTCGGCCACTTATATTATTCCATATGCAGTAGTGGGAAGTGAAAGAACGCGCAAGATATGCACGCATATACATCCTTATTGTGTATGTGTGTACATTTACTTAAGCTTGTGCCGCCGTGGGCGGTGTTTTCAATCACGGTTCTATCTAGTCGAACTCGAGAGCACTTCCTCCGTTCTCGCTTCGGAAAGAACCTACCGAAATCCATCCTCCTCTCTCGGCTTTGCCGCTGGTTTTCCTAGTCCTTTTTTTCCTTGCCACTTTTCCTAAGCCGTTTCGAGGCTCTCTTAGAAACGTCGCTGAGGTTTAGTCGGGCTTAACTGATCGGAAAATGCGCTTCTTACCGGGTTAAGGAAGATGGATATTTCAGAGACGCCCCGTCCTTAATCTCCCCCCTCCCCTCCACTCCCCCTCATTCCTCTTTCACGTCTTGGAATGGAGCTCAAACGAGTGGTGGATATTTTTATTTGAATCAATCGATACAATGTAAAGTAGGACAAGAGGTAGATAATTAAAAATAATTTGTGGATTACGAGTTATTAGCGGATAATTGATTTAATTAATCAGTTGATCAATTAATCGCGCAAACGAATTTGTATGTACAGCGTAGGGGAAATATAAATATCCCACGGCAATGAAATGGAATATATAATAAGTGGAACTTTTAAATTATATAATATGTTCATCTGATAAACCGAACCAATTTTATAAATGGAACCGCGTATAATCACATTATATCATATAGCAGACAAAGAATATGGTAGACCAAGCATTATTTAGAAACGATCGATGATTCTGATATCATAAAATATTGGAGTAGACAAAATAATGTAAGCATCTGAAAAATATTTTATCTACTACTATTTTATTAATAAAGAATTGGAGTCTACCATCCTCAATATTTGTCTTTACTATTCCATTATTCTTGATGAAATAGTCATACGTGAATAGTGTATCAACTACTACAGTGCAATCTTCTAGCAGAATATCTTATAATTGCTCAAAATATATTGGAGGAGAAAATCTGTTTTTCACTCTGCTCTTCAAAACTACATACAAATAATGTTTAAAAGCGATTGTCTGGAAAAGATATTGATTTTGAAGAATAAAGGGTAATTTTGGAGTAATAAAAATATAATTTGTGTAAGTAGTTGAAAGATATTCTACTAAAAGAATATTACAACATTTCATTAGTAATTATTCAATTAGAAAATTGAGTAAAAAGAAAATTTCATTCTCCAATATCATTTATACAAGCATTTATAAGCAATTGAAAAATGTTCTACTAAAAGGATAGTACAACATTCCATTGATAATTATTCAAACATTGAAAAATTATTATTTCAATAAGTATAGAATATATTAAAAGCAAACAACAGATCAATCGCTTATTAATAAAACAAATAGTAAAATAAATACTGCATTACCTAGGTGTTAATATTGTTATGTCTATCCTTTGTAATGTACATTCAATTAAACAATGAATTTTCAATTTATACTTATTTTCAACTTATTTTCAACTTATGTAGAGCAAGTTATCCGAATACTTAATAGGAAAATCCAGTGAGAATTAAACAGTTTATCTTCTGTCTCATAAACATCAGGATTGGTCGGCATTAACTCAATTATAAGAGGAACTCTGGCGAGTTATGTCCAGCAGAATTTGACTACTCGCGAATGAATTAAAAATCAACTCTGGCCAATGTCCCTTTACGTTCTCCTCAATTTTACTGGAGTCCTTTTTGCAGTCACGACGTCGCGCTTTAATCACGCTTGTACGAACTGCTGTGACGTTGACGACGACAACAGCGACGACAACACAACAATGAAATCGGATTATAAGCGAATTGCTGTGCCGTATCACGATGGTATACCGACGTCGCAATAAGGCGGTTCCCATTACAAGGATGGCCGACGACAGTCCGTTATGAAAAGTGTTTCTAGCTCAACAGGTCGCAATAGAATGACCATGATTTAATTTTTGGTTACAAATCTTTAAAAATACAAAAAGATGAAAAAGAATATAAAAAGAATTAGTACATCATTCATTTGCTACAACAACGACTTAACTAAAAAATTGTCATTTTTAGTTGCTTACACAAAAAGAATGGATATAAGAAAAAAAGAAAAAAATATACTTTAAAAGAGCATAATTTTGTTGGTCTACAATCATTACACCAAAATTGCATTTTAAAATTGCATCACAAAAAAAATTTAATAATTAAAAATTGAAATTCGTTTTCTTTATTTTTTCTTTATTATTCGTATCGTTGTTATATCTACAAATGAATAATATAAGGAACAATAAAGACTATATAGAAGTATAAAAGAAGATGAAAAGGAGATGAAATCGATGTTACTTCACATATTAATTATGATTAATATTAGTACTTTGTAAACTTTATGTACAACATTCAATGTACATATAAAAAAATCAATTACGGAAATTGGAAATCTGTTGATTAGAAGTCTTGTCTTAGTGTGCGAGAAAACAATCTCTTGTACGTTCTTGACTCTACGCGAAGCAATAACTCCTTGATTTTCTCGATCGATCCTTCCTAAAGGTTTCTCTGTTAAACGAGGAAACAAAAGGGAATAACAGAGCAACCAGTAGCAAGACTCTAAATGCTCTTTTGTTTCCTACGTCATAATCACCGGTTGTAACACGGTGGTTACAGCAGACGTAATAGAAAGAACGTGCAGTGAGTTGAGAAACAAGCGTTAACCGCACGTCGAAAGAATCGACTCTAAATGCGAAAATGTTTGGAGGAGGCGCGACAGCGACGCGAAGAATTCCACGAGAGTTCCGGAAACGTCGAGAATACGACGTGAGTGGCTGTCGAATCCAGAAGAAGGGCCTTAATTGCTCGGTGTTTCTTCGACGTACGCGGAAATCACGCCGCGGAGAAACGCGGACGTCGCCCAAACAAGGTTCGCTTCAAGTGACGTTCATTCACCGTCCAGAATGGCTTCGAGAATCACTACCACCATCATTCCTCTCGTTTCAAGTGCGGACGACATGTTTCCAGGTTCTCCACTTTGATCGTACACAGGGTGAGACGCCAACACTCTCAACCCCTTCGACTTACTTGCTCGATTATGTTCAAAATCATCTCAAGTCACTAGTAACTTAATGCAATTGTTATCGTATTCAAATTAAGTTTAGTATTGTTGCTATTTTCCAGTATATTGTTCTGTCAACTGAGGCGTTTATGTGTGTTACGAGACATATATGGCCACTTATGATAAAAGACGAAAATTTATTGTAAGGCGTTTCTGGCAATAAAGGCTAAACATATTAAAAGTATACAGTCCATTATATCCGAAAAAGTTTTAATAAC